CTGAGATTCTCGCGATGAGTTCTATCCCTTATAAACCTGTCTTCTCGCTGACTTTTTCAATATTAGCCAATGGTCCGAAGACCTGTATCACTGTACTGTTCCTTAGAGATTTCACGTTATTGCTGAAATCCACGTTTCCTCATTTTATTAAGTATATCTTAATAAGATATGCTTTAGAGTTGCTACCAATCTTTTCATTAATGAAATTGGTGTACAAATGCACTCATGAACAGTTGGACCATTAATGAGAGGACATGGACACCTCCATCTTAGAAGCTAAGGGAAAAGAAGATTGAAATTGGAGCTGGTAGAACAAAAGCCATGCTGATCAGAGATAACTATTGCAGACCCACTGACTAACAGAGCAATAATCATTGAGTCCCTCTTGTATATCAAAGTAGAAGTGGAAAAAGAACTTAGGGGATTAAAATGAACAAGATGCTTGAACAAGTTTATTTTAGAGAAAGAATGGGCAAGGAGTATGTTTGGCCATTTTTTATCTTCTAGATTTTCCGTGCCTCCCTTGGGATGGGACATCAGGCACTGCCCTGTTCTCATCACATTCAGCAGTTAAAAATCTAGAAGAGTCTGTTCCTCCTTAGAACCAATAAAAGGCCAGAAAGAGGGCACAACCTTTGTCCCTGACCAAGCTGTGACTTGTCCCCACCACCATTTCTCCTGGGTGCCAAGGGTCTCTGCTCCAAGCACTCCTGGGCTACAGTGCTTGCCCACACACCTCATTCCTTTCAGCCCAGTTTCCAGAGCAGCAACATGTCCTTTCTCTTCCCTTCCTCTGGGACAGATTTTCTCAGATGACCTTGCTCCTGTCTGACACCTGTTCAGTTTCTCCCTGCCCCCCCACTCAGCTCTCTGGGCTGTGTGTAATATCTTGGCCGTTGGTCATAACAGCCTGTCCACTTCCCATCTGGCCTGTCCACTTCCCATCCTGTGTGGGCTAGTCTAATCATCATCACCTCTCCCGCTCCTGTTTCCTTCCTTCCCTTCTCCCAGGGCCCAGTCAATACCACACAGCACATCCAACCCCCGCCAAGGGAGCACACACTGGCAGAAGAAGCAATTAACACCGATATTTCTGCAAGCTGGACATTCTCATAATTAAAACTCCTTTTGCAAGATCTCAGGAGTCTAGATAAGCCGAAGGGAAGAGGAAAACTAGCTAGCATCTTATCAGGAAATGTGATCTATAGAAACAGATACATTCAGTAACATAGGCCTAAGATTTTAGGCTAGCGCCCAATTATCAGCTACCAGTATTTCTATTGATTAAAACAATATAATAAGCTTGCTATATCATTAAAAGCTCTTAGCATATTCAGAAAGTCTCTAAAAGCAGCAACAATTACATCAGCCATGTAATCAAAAGTTAGTTCTAACCTAATCGCTTCCCTGTGCTTAGCAAAGACAGGTCTGAATATACACAGCAGCCATTCATTCAAGGAAGAAATAGTTACTTGGATCATACAAAGTTCAACACAAGTGCAGGACACTAAATTAGAGAACATTAATTGAGGGGACAGTAGTCACCATGGTGATATTTACTAATACTAAACCTTAGAAGACCTACCAAGTTTTCAACATCATTATCATATCAGTAAGTTTAGCGACAACACCTTTCTAAACCCAGATAAGGATCCCATTATCAAGTCCAACAGAATCCAGAGCTGTCTAAAAAAAACAAAAAGCGCTGACATTAGCATTTAGACTTTTAATATAACAATCTGTTGAGCTTTACTCACCCAGAAAAAGGACAATTGGTTTATCAATGGAACAGTCCTGTTCATTTTGATAAACACAAGCTGACAAAATTACCCACAGGGGAGAAAAGATATGAACCCATTCCACAAAAGATGGCTGAAATATGTAGCTTTTCACAGTTTCTGAAGGAGCCACACCACCACCAAAACAGTTTTTTATTTTAAAAAAAAAGTGGGCTTTCTTCAAATTCAGAAAAAAGGGTCTAAATATCAGTTACATTTAACACCAATAAACAACTCATTGTATTTAGCCTGAAAAAGTATAGCTACTCTGAAGTTTTACCTCTCAGAACATACACACACACACACACACACACACACACACACACACACACCCCATGCAAACACACTTCACTTCCCTTAAGGGCACTAAAAACACATATTTACTGATATTTAAAGCTATGAAGAGTTGCCAAATGATTTCTCTAAGGCAGTTAGCATGTCCAAACTAAATGTACACCTTGCAATTTTCTACTTCCAGAAGCGAACTTCATACAATCTAAACCGGTGCTGACTTTCTCCATTTTAAATATTGCTGACAAGTAAGTCCCTTAACACAAATGAGAATCTCTATTGCCCAAGAGGTGGCCGGCTCGACAGATTGGTTCCTTGTTGAGAAAATGCAAGCTCAGATGACTGTCCCCAAAAGAAAACGATTCTCTAGGGTAAACAATCTCCTTCTACATCCTGGAGAATCTGTATAACTGCGATAATGCATTAGGAGGCACACGCCCAAAATGTTCAGCTCATGAGACCAGCTCAGGCGGCTAGTCAGAGCCTCTCCTGCTGGGACAATTCAGGAAAAACATCAGAGGGTCATTAGAGAACACCGCTCCATTGCCATTGCAAAGTGGCCATCACAAACAGGGTACTGCACATCACACAAGGAGATTACTTATGTGCAGACCCAGAGGACAGAAACAAAAAATGAGCAAAAAAAGGATGAGGACACTCAGCTAATGCAAAAATGAAATTTTCCAAAGGGCGAGTTATTTGATGGTAATTCAGACCACTTCGGCCACAAGTCCAAGTTCTGCAATTCTACGACTTTGGGCAGAAAACAAGGTTGCTTGCCTTGGTGGTCAACACAGACCTCATTTCACAAGATAATTAGCCTGACTCACTCGGTGTTTCATTCTCCTTGTGGGAGCAGTTTACAGACAGATGAATGCACTGGGATGATGTTTCTAGGCTGGGTATACAGCCATGGAAATTAAAGGAAAGACGCTAAATCCATGCCCCGCCTCCCCCCAAAAAATTGTGTCTCATGGAGCTGACTCTATCCACTATTGCTTTACATGCAGCAATCTGGCTTTGGGTGCTTACTCCAGATACCCACTTCATATCAGCGCCGCTCTAATGTAATAACAATGACGGTAGATGCCACCGATGGGATGCTTACTACTTCCCAGGCAGCATGCTCTGTCTGTGTTCATTTACTCACCCAACTAATATTTAACGACTACCCACCATGTGACAGAACTGTTTCAGGGTACAATCTGAATACAACAGTTTCCGTTGTCACACAACTTTCTTTCCAGTCAGAGGAGAAAGAAAACAGAAGACTAAACATAGAATTATGAGCTGGTAATCAGGGCTACGAAGAAGAAAGTGGGCTAAAGGTGCCAGGGGGTGACAGTGTCAGACCCCCAGGAACACACCTGTAGCTCAGGACCACCTTGGGTTTACTGACTCATTGCAACACCATCAGGATTCAGGCATCTAATCGAAGAGGGTGTTCACTGGACTTACTGTTAAGATTTAGGCTGTTAGGTGATTTGGGGGAGGATTCCAAAAGGCAGGATTTTGCTCTGAATTAAACACTGTCAGGAAGAGAAGGTAATTCCATGACTGGGCAGCCTAGCCGTTCTTCCCCAGAAGGTAGGAGAGATGAAGTGAGGCAGCCAATCAGAGCAGCCAGAAGGGAGATATGTGGCCGTATGTGTGGTTTGGACAAGCCTATTCTTATCTGCATTTGGACATGATTATAAAGGGGTCTTGCTTTTATCTCGATTCATCATGGTCACGGAGTGGCCTTCTCTGATGTTGGTGCTCTGGGAAATTGTTTCTGTTCAACAGGAGGACATTACAGCTGAGCTGTGTGCGTCAGGCCAGCTCCCAGCTGTCAGGGCCTGCTTTCCTCTTTCTTACGCTCCATCCTCACTCAACCTTCCAAGATAGGTACTATTACTATTTCTCTTTTAAAAACGAGAAAACTGAGGCCCAGAGGGGTGAAGGGCTTCTCCTAGAGCAAGCAACTACGAAAGCCAGAATTCAGTCAGGTTATCTGACTCCAGAGCCAGCCTCTTATCCATGGCACACTCAGGTCCCTACAGTGTGGAGCCTTTTGAATTCTCATGGCAAGAAGTTATCTTCAAAAGGGTCAGGGCTGGTTTCAGAGGGAGGGGGGACACCAATCCTGCAGGGGAAGCTGCTATCAGAAGACACCCCAATACCTAGGCCAGAGTTTGTGCAAATGCCCAACAAATAAGTCCACCTGGTCATTGTCAAGGCAAAAGTATTCTTCTCCCAGGGATGAGGAAACATATGTCATTTCATTTAAATTGGAAGGTTTCTTTTTCAATAATTTCATCAAAACCAATTTATATATATATATATATATATATATATATAAAATTATCTCAGCAACTTAAGAACGATAACCGAAGTTTTAAATGCTAGAACAAGTATGTTAAAACTGCATAAAGGTGGGCCAGCCGAGTGGCCTGTTGGTTAGGAGTTGGCTTCGACACCAGCTCAGAACAGCAGGGCCCGGGTTCGGACCCCACATGCGGGCCAGTGACGTGGCACCCTCTACAGCTAAGATGGTGAACAACAGCTCAACCTGGAGCTGGGCTGCAGTGAGTCGCCGGCCATGGCGTAGGCTGCAGTGGGGCTGGCCGGCAGCGGGTGTGCGCTTTCGTGAGTCACCATGAGCAGCCGTCCAATGGCCGGCGAGCGACTGACTCACCTGGGTCGGGAAGAGTGCAATGATAATACCAACATGGGCCAGTGAAGCGACGTCCTCCACAGCTAGACTGAAGAACAAAAGGACAGCAACTTGTCTGTTCCCTCCCCCAATTCCCCGATAAAATCTTTAAAAAAAAAAACTGCATAAAGGTAACGTTCTAGCATGTAAGGGCAATAGAGTATGAGGCAATGAATACTTCCAGTATCCCATATTTTATAAACACCCTCTCCCATAGCAGCCAAGCCAGGGCTTACCAGTAGGTTCTCTGGCTTCAGATCCCGGTGGACAATGCTCTTGTCGTGCATGTGGACAAGTGCCTTACACAAGTCCATGAACATGAGGGCAGCGACATGTTCTGGGAACTTCACACTTTCTATGATGGCATCAAAAAGGTCCCCGCCCTGCACGTACTCCATGATCAGGTAGATTTCCATTTCTGTCTCATACACTTCATGCAATTTGACTATGTTGGGATGTGAGAGGCTCTGGATAATGAAGATCTCACTGTCAACCATGTCCTCCTTCCCCTTGAGTTTGGACTTGTCAATGATCTTCATGGCGTAGGCCTGCTTGGTCTCTCGGTGCTGGCACTCCTTCACGATGGCGAAGTTCCCATCCCCAATGACCCGGCCGGTCTCATAGTGCTTCTCCACGTTGGCCGAGATGATGCCTGCCGGCCGCCGCTTCCGGCCACCAGGCCTCTCTGGTTTGCTTTCTTCCGGCCTCGTCTTGGGCTCCTTTTCTACCCTTGTGGGTTGGTCATCTCTGGGAAGTATCTTTCCCCCTCCTGACGCACATGGCTTTTTCTCCTTCTCTGCCTCCTGCTCTTCCCCTCGGGTCCTGGGGAGCTTCTCGGAGTGGGCCTGGTGCTCCCTGAGGAACCAGCCGCCATGCTTGTTCCTGGTGTCTTTCTTCCCATCCCTCAGCCCCTCCTCTCTGACAGGCTGAGCTTCCATGAGATCCTTCTTAGTCTTGGCTGCTCCTTGCAGATTACCTTCCTGACCTCCAGGGTCTCTGTTCTCTTTCTTGTCCGTGTTCTTGCCAGGTCTCCTCAGCTCCTGAGTGGGGTTCCTGGGGCTGCTCCTGTCGCCCTCCCGCCCTTCCTCCCCACCCTGAGGGTTGGCCTCGGGGGACCTCCTGCAGCTCCTGGTCCTCACCAGCTTGTCCACGTCATGCCGTTGGCGCTTGCCCATGTCCAGCTCGCTGGTCCCCAGGGACAGCCTCTCCCTCTGCAGGCTCTGCTGCAGCTCTCTCTCCCTCTTGCACTTCTCGCACCTGATAATTTCACCTGAGGTCTTCTCGATCTCTACCCCCAGGTGCTTCTCTCCACTCGCAGGCCTCTCTAAAGTGGCTTCCCTGGGGGGCTTGTTAGCCGGTTCAGGTTCCCATCTCCCCCTCTCCCACTTCTTCTGGGCCCTTGCCCTGTCCTCCAGCACCGGCTCCACGGGGATCTTCCCCTGGTGTCTGATGGCTGCCTTGGACTCCACAGCCTCACTGCAGCTCTTGGCGGTCTCGGTCTCCCCACCAAGGTGACCCCCTTTCAGAGGCTTGCTATAAAGCCTGCTTCTCAGCCTTGGAGAAAGGACCCAGCTGTGCTGGGTCAATGTCAGGGCCCGGGTTTTATTGGGGTACAGTTCTTCTATGGCCACCTGAATGTTCTTCAACGTCAATGGTTCTTTGCCCATGGCTATGAACGCGTCCCCTTCCCTGAAGAAGTCAGAGACACTCCTTATTTCCCTGCCCTTGAGGTTAAACAGTTTCCTCACACGATCATTTTTCCACCTTGGAAAGCCCAAGGCCTCTGAGACATCCGCCAAGAGCTGTTCGAAGGTCTGCACCGACCGCCTATTAAGGAGCAGGGTGATCTTCCGCAGCGGGTGCCCGCCCGGCTTCACCACCGTCACCACCCTGGGCTTCAGCGGGCTGTTCTCAGCATGGGCGGAGTGAAGGCCATTCTGCGGGCTGAACACAGGTACCACGGAGGTGGGTGGCTTCTCCAGATTCCCTCGGCCAGCAGGCAGCCATGTGCCCTGCAGCTTCCGCTCTGTGATTCTCGAGCTTAAATATTTTAGAGAATGGTCACATAGGCCTCGATGTCCTGTGGGAGGAAAATGACAACACAGTATTAGTCAAGATGGGTTCAAAGAGCCCTTTGACCTCCACCAAAACTTTACTAAAGATTACTGATTCTATTACAGTGTATAAGGGTGATCTTTGAGGATCTGCTTGAAATAATAGAGATGTGACACTTTAGTCTAATCCCCAGTCCCCTCTGTGAGAGACGAGGCGTGTAGAGCAGAGTCAGCACTGGGTCGGAGGTAGCTCTTCTTCTAGTCCTCCCGGGGACCTCCAGGTTGGGCCATGCCCGGGGAGCCCATTCTGGGCAAGGCCTGACTCAAAGAACTCAACTCCTGCTACCCTAAAGAGAGCTGACCTTCAAGGGTCTACGACTGAGATAAAAGGTCCAAGGTTTGCTACCCAGGAAGTACCGACAGGACGTCAGGACATTCTGAAACATTAAAGAACCCATGTGTTACCCACCACAGGTTTTTTCAGCTTGACTTGCAGCTCACTCAAGGTGAGGCAATATGTGAAGATCACAGAGTTTGAGACAGATCTGGACTTGACTCCTGGCATGGCCACTGATGATTTGTGTGAACTTGGGCAAATTACACACATTTCAGTTTTTTTCATCTGTGAAGTAGGAAGGCTAACACCTTCCTCCGAGGGTTTTTGTGAAGAGTAAATAAGAAAATGATTAAAATTCACTGAAAGGAGTGTTTTACACACAGTCAGGGCATAGTAATTGCCAGTTACTAATAATGTCCTCATGATCTTACTATCTCTTTATATGATCATTTCATTCTGGTAGTAATGTAATCTGTTGATAAGGTAGAATTCTGCACACAGCTTCACGTGGCTTCACCAGAACTCATGGGCCAACATGACATGGTGGGTATTTCTCAAAACTCCGATTGAGATTCTTCTGCACTAGGGGTTATTAAAAACTGAAGTTGAAGATTTCAGTCTAGGTATAGAAACATTCTTCTCCAAAAGGTTTTTCTTCTCGTTATTAAAAAAGATGAAAGAAACCGAGGTCATATGAATGCTTAGAACTTCAATAATAAAAATGTGTTCATTCTCATTGTATTTCCAGATAAACTGAATACATGAGTAAAACAAGACTGTATTTCCTGGTCAACTGTACCCAGCCAGAATAAAGTAATTGAGGCAAAAGTAGTTCAATTTCAATTTCTGTCCAGGTTGGGAAAGGAAATAGGAAAATGAAAGAATGTGTAGCTCAGTTAAACCATGAGGGTGGGCTGCGAGTTATTAAAGTTATCCCACAGGATCCACATGTCATATCCTACATGTAGGAATCTGCCATTTATGCTTCCTTTAAAAAGAAATTAAGGGCGGCTGGGTGGCTCAGTTGGTTAGAGCGCATGCTCTGAATAAGAAGGTTGCCGGTTCGATTCCCACATGGACCAGTGAGCTGCACCCCCTGCAACTAGACCGAAAATGGTGACTGGACTTGGAACTGAGCTGTGCCCTCCACAACTAAATTGAAACAGCGACTTGACTTGGAGCTGCTGGGTCCTGGAAAAACACACTGTTCCCCAATACAATTTTTTTAAAAAGAAGTTAAAACTGATTTTTTAGTGCATTTCAATTGTGGCAGAAACTCCAGCTGTGCCGTGATGGGCAAGCTGGCCCAGCAAATTTACACAGAATGGCTTTTTTGTTGTTTTTTAATGATAACATACAATCTGTTCTGAGATGATTTCCATCTAGACACAGGTGTCAGAGTAGATAACAAGTGGTGGCTGGTACTGATCTTCCCACATGCCGTAAATTAATGAGCTTAAAAATCACATTTATGGTGAAACTATTTATGGACATCTGTTATTTCTTTTCTTCTCATAATCTCTCTAACCTGCCTCCATTTTTGTCTGAGAGAGTTGAGAGAAAGAGAGATCCACAGCAGTAATGCCAGTTAGTGTTTCCTCACTGGAAAAATTGAGGAAGGGTACCAAGGAAGGTGACCTTCAAATGCATGTGCACAAAAGAACCAGTGTTCTCATTTGTTCTCCTCATGGTGCTTCTCACATGGTAGGATCCTCAGTACACACTTGTTTGGCTAAATAAATAGAAATGAATTCTTATTCCAGGGAAAGGACTGGGGAGAGGTTGTCAGAAGAGAACCAGGAGGACAAGGGAGCAATCGGTGAATACCTTAGGGATGCAGGAGAATTTAGTATGGAAGGGGGTTTGGGAGGGCCCCAGAGAAAGGTCCAATATGGGATACGAGGGAGGCAAAGAAGAATACTCATGGAACAGGACAGACTCGATGGGGGTTCACATGTTGGGTGGTAACCTAGGATGACAGAGAAGCAAATCATGATGGGGCCAGTGGCCTCAAGGTCCCAAAGAGTGAAAACATGGAGTTTGGGTGTGATGACGGATAACTTGGCCCTGTGGTACCCAGAGCTGGGGCCGAAAGGGGCATGCTCTCTAGGATAGCTGTGCTCAGCCACTTTCAGTAGCCCCAACCTCAGAAGCAGTCCTCATTCCTACTGGGGTTAGGGAAGCAATCTGGGAACACCCCATCCCTGAACCCAGACACAAAGGATGTGAAGACAGAGCAGGTCGGCCTCAGCTGCACCACCCTCTGGCATGCTCAGTGCACTGCCCAGGCATTCACGAACTCATTGAAAACCTCTGCCATACTGGGGCCAGAGTGAGGACTCAGTCCCCCACCTCCCCAACATAACTGGGTTCTGTCTGCTTCAAGCTACTAAGGAGCACTGGGAAAACAACCTCAAGATGCAAATATTTTTATCCTCTCTTCCACAAGCCCACCTCCCTCCTTTAAAATTCTTAGTCCAGAGCAGTTTTCATCTTTCAAGGTAAGAGAATAATAAAATGAGGAGATTCTGAATGCCTCTTCCTTGGTCAGGGAGAGAGAACATTAGTGAGAGAAAGAACATACTATGTCCCTTGGACTCTGGGCTCAGTCTCCAGAACAGTCTCCTCTCCCAAGCACAACAGCACTCAGGACTTGCAGGCTGATTGTCGGCAGCATTATCCCAGCACCTACCCCCTTAAACCCAACCAGAAAGCCAAAGGTCAGCCTGTGTCTACCCATCTCCAACCAAAACGTACAACATCAGCTAAATGGAATCATATGAAATTGCCAGTAGTTCTACCCATTTTGACCTACAAAGAAAAAGGAAATTTCATATGGTTCAACCTACTATGAACTAGGATAATAACCCCTACTCTGTCCTTACATCAACAATCAATAGTTAATGAGGGTATAGGTAATAAAAATTAAACATCCCTATTCCTAGTCCTCGGTCACCAAGCCAGCAGCTTCCCAGGAAGTGACATAGAGTAAAGATGCTTTCATGGCAGCTTGTCTTTCTATTACCTTCCTAAGCAACACAAACTGGTCTCAGTTTAACAATACTGCTGCTTTTGCCTCATACATCACAAATATAAATGTTTGTAAGGTTTCTCCCCAGGGCCAATCTAACCCCACGCGTATAACAGAACAAGCACTGCTTTCGCAGAGCCCCTCCTCTGCTCAAGAACCTACAGTGGCTCCTTATTACCATCCTGGAAGGTCAAACCCAAACTCCTCAGCTCAATATGTAAGGCCCTCCACAATCCAGCAGCCCCCACCCATCCCATCCCATCCCCACTCCACCCTCACTCCTCCAACCCGTCCAAGCCTCACCATCTTGTAAGACCTATGACTCACATCCACCACCAAACCTCCTCTGACCTCACAAGTTCATAGCCATAGCTCCCTCCTCTGAAGGCCTATTCGTGTCATTAAACCAACATTTAGCATGAATGCTTGAAACCCAATGCCCGCACTTTGCTGCAGAACACCTGCTCTCCCCTTCTGCGCATCTCAGCTCATTGTTCCTTCATCTTTATAGGTGTAAGGATTCTCCCTCTCAACTAAACTTAAACTGTCCAAAAGCAGAGACCATGGATTACCCAAATTCCCCTACTCGATAGGAAAGGCAGTTCGGGGAATATAACTAATAATGTGGTAAATACTTTTGTAGGGTGTCAGATGGTCACATGTCTTGCTAGGGAGACCACTTCATGGATGGGGTAGAGGCTTGATCACTGCACTGTACACACCTGAAGCTGATGTTGTACAATATTATATGTCAACTATAAGTGAATATATATATATATATATATATAGTCACGGGATGGGGAGTATAGTGTGGGAGTGGAGTCAAGGGAATTGTAATAGATACGTATGATATCAGGGGTGGGGAGTGAGAAGGCGGATTGGGGGAGAGGGGTTGTCACTTTGAGGGGTTAAAAGTATAACTATTGCACTGTGTTGTACAGCTGACACCAATTTTTTAAAAAAATGTTTATTTCACAATAAAAATAAATAAATAAACAAATTCCCCTACTCCACCCTATTACACACAGAAGGCACTGGTGATTTGGGAAACCAGTTCCCAGCCCTAACATCAAACACCTATGTCAAGTCTCAGTCTTCCAGCCCTCCTCGTAAATAATTGAGTGTAACTACTTGCAGCACTGGTAGATATTACACGACAGAGCTCCTCCACAGATTAAGTAAGTGAGGTGAAAGAAAACATGATCACAGATGTCCACTGACAACCAGGAAATTTGCCAAAGCGGCATTTATAAAGAGCAACTGATACAGGTAAGGGAGAGCAGGACATTTCTTCCGGATGCGAAAGCTTCATTTTAGAGATGTGCAGAGAACACTAAACACAGGATCACATGACCTCATTGAAATCCTGGTTCTACCAGGCTCTTATGAGCCATCTGACCTTGGGAATGTAATAGAACCTCTCCGAGCCTCAGTTTCCACATCCGCCAAACCTGATATCTCACTCATGCTAAGGGTGCCCAGCACACTGCTTAGCATAGAGACGGCACTCAAACTGTTTGTTTTTCTCCCCTCTCCAAAAGAAAACAGATCTTGGAAACTTAGATTTTTCCCCCAATCCATGTACATCTCAAGGGCAAAGAGAATACGATGCTAACTGTGACTCTGCAGAGTGAATGTGTCATTCATATAGCAA